CGTGCCGGGGCTGGTGGTGTGCCTTTGCGCGGGTGCATGCGGGGCCATTCCCCGGACTTCTTGTTTTCTTCACGCCTGGTTGCAGCCTCCCGCAGCCTGTGGGAGGGATCTGCACATCTTGCTGCCTTTCTATCTTCATCCCCTCCCGGGGGAAGAGGCAGCAGTCCCAGTTTGGTTTGCTTTCTGTGCATCCCGTAACAGTGGTGTTCTTCTCTTCCTTTTCTAGTATACTCTGCCTCCAACCTCCTAGTGCTATTAAATGACTGGATTCTCCGAAAGGAGCTGCAGCGGAACCTGCCCGTGGTAAGGCTGGAGTGTGTGGGAGGAGGATTTGGGACACATGCTTTCTTCCTTGGAGAAGCTTACAGGGAGTGTCTGTAGAAACTAGCAGGTCTTTGCTGTGGCCTCTCTTTGCTGTCAGATATGTAGAGGCCAGAGGCAACCTCTGAATATAGGTAAACAGCAGCCCTGCCCCGTAGCTCCTGGGTTGGAGGAGTGGCCAGAGCACTCCCAGGACCACAGAAATCAGGCCCTGACTTGCACCAGGAGCTCCACTGGTGTTTTGAGAAGCTCAGAACTTGAGCTAGGCAAAAGTGTAGCCGAATAACAATCACTGTTTCCAGAGCAGTGGCTCTGGAGCACCGAAGCTCTGATTCCATCCCTCAGACTCTTCCTTTGCGTATGCTATTGAGCAAAACAATCATAAGCACCTTGCTTCTACGTCTCTCTTGCAAGAGCCCCAGGGTGGCTCCCAGCACTTGTTAGACCCTTTGGGGAATGAGGAGGAGGGTGGTTTTTTCCAGACAGGCCTCTTCTGTTGCAAGCCTGCCCGCTGTGTGGGTTTGGGTGTAGGTAGCTCTCTGGCTGGAGGGTCAGGCATGTAACAAACAGAAATGCAGAAGACTTGCTTCCCTGGTTGTTAGAGGCCAAAGTGAATTTCAGCTGTATTGTCTTTATTGATGCTTTTCAACGGGTTAAATCCTGTGGTTGACAGCACCAGCAAGTTCCCACTTGGGGAGTAGGGACCCTGGCTGGAAGAGCACCCGCTGTTTTAGGGTGCATGCCTGGAGTCTAGACTGATGCTGCAGGCATTCGCTCTGGTGTGACTGTGGACTCTGGGTCCCCTTCCTTCCACTCCAGGCATGCTCTCTCGTCAACTCTAACCAGGGAGGAGGTTCGTCATGTATCCCAACTCTGGGACAAGGAGAGGGAGAGAGTTTTGCCGTGGAGTTCAGGCATAGTGCCACAACCCCAGAGACTGTCCTGCTGTGTCTGTTGGGGTAGAAGGCAATCCAAGATACAGCTGTGATGTTCTCCCCGTTTCTGTGGTAGCAGCTCTGTGTGATACTGTGATGTCTTGGTCTGCCCCTGCTTGCACGTAGAGAAGTGGGCTTGTGCGTAGACTCTGGCGGCAGTGGAGGCACCGCTTTTTGTTTCTGGGGCTGTGACTTCCAAGGCCATCCGGTGCTTATTTCTTAGAGTCCCGCCAGACTGGGCTGTGCTTCTGTCCCGTTTAACTTCCAAGCAGAACCTGCATCCTGTCCCCCTCCTCCCCTCTGTGTTTTGCAGTCGCTGCCCCAGCAGAAGCTGCTGACCTGGCTGAGTGTGCTAGAATGCGTGGAGGTCTTTGCAGAGATGGGGACAGCCAGGGTGTGGGGGGAGATGGGCCGGTGGACCATCATTGTCCTCATCCAGCTGGCTAAGTAAGTGCTGCGGACGGAGGGCAAGGGGCAGCGTGCGCTTGGAAAGGGGATCTGGAGGGGACTCAGCAGTACCCCAGGAAAAAGCCCAGGAAGGACTGAGCTGCTGGTCCCTGAGGCTGGGGAAATTTGGAGCCCCATGGTGTGCTGGATATTGTGCCACAGAAGGGGACGCTTACCCCTCTCCCCTTGCCAGTTGCCCTGAGGAGACCTGAGTGTTTCCCTCTTCTGTGGAAGCCATCTTTCCAGCGCAACAGAAACCTAGCTCCGTAGCCTGGTATTGAATGCTTCCGTGTGTCTGCTCACAGAGCCATCCTTCGTCTCCTGCTCCTGCTGTGGTACAAAGCTGGCATCCAGACGTCTCCTCCCATCGTGCCGCTGAACAGGGAGCAGCAGCAGCCTCTCCACCCCCAAGGTGAGCCCATGGTGCTGTCATCATTGACTTGGCGCCTCGTTGGGCCACATGTCTTGTCCTGCTAGGAATTACTCTTCAGAGCAGCGGCTTGGGCGGCACAGGGAAGGCTTCAGTAGGCAAAGCTGAGCTGCGTTGAACTTTCCACCCTCTGCAGAGCATGAGTTAGTTTAGCGGCAGGGTGTCCTACAGTCTGGAAGGAGGGGGTGGAGGAGTCTAAGCCTGGAACCACTGCCTGAACTGTGAGTCAAGCTGCATGTCCCCTGGTCTGATGGTGAGGAAAGAGATCCTAGGCCTGGGCAATGTCAGGCAGATTTACCTTTTCACCCTCTGACAGCTCTGCGCAGTGTTAGCCCCTTCAGGATGGTCCGGTTTGCACTCGATCAAACTTTCAGTCTGGTTTTCTTGATGGCGATGTAGGGAAGGGTGCTGCCAGCTCTGGCGTGAGGCGTGTCCCTTTGGAGCCTGACCCCTGTGGCTGTTTTCTTCTGCAGACATGGAAGACAACTCCTCAGGGAAGGACCAGACATATGTTGGCAGGCGTTCCAGCCGTGTTGTGCGCTCTCTCCAGAGCAGTAAGTAGCTGAGCCTGTTTTCTGTCCTTGCCTGAGCTGTTTCTGCTCTGTGCCCTTTATGTATGACCTGGGTGTGGGCAGTAAAGAGTAGAACCTTGGATTGGGGCATATCCTGCCAGTCCCTGGGCCCTGTGGGTGGGGGGATATCAACACAACAGGGATTCAGGCACGTGCAGACAGGCTAGCACTTAAATTATATTTTCCCAAGTGAGCTGTGCAACAGAGATAACCCTTCAGCGTGGTTATTCTTTGAGGAGCACAGACCTTACGAGTACCTCTCCCTGCTCTGTCCCCTCTGGAGGCAAGCTCTGAAGGTGCTGGTCAGCCACAGCAGTTGCTGTGTGCGCAGCTCTTCCTGTTTCACACCTTCATGGTGCAGAAAGCAGTATGGGGGTGGTGAGGGGAAGTGTGGTAGGAAGGTTTTATTTGTGTCAGTGACCTGATCTGCTTGTTTCAGCCCCATCCCTGCAGTCCCGGCACTGGGGGTCCCCCCAGCAAAGGGAGGAGTCGCAGAGCCGAAGAGCGGAGGAGTTGAACCAGCCTCCTACCCCTCTGGGTCTCCAAGAAACCATCGCAGAATCCATCTACATTACCCGCCCTCTGCTCCACCGTATCCTGCTCTGGTTGTGTGCGGGCTCACGCCGTACCCCGGGTGCCGGCAGAGGGTGATGCGGGCTCGGCCCTGGTGCAGGGCAGGGCCACACCAGGCTTCTCTCTCCCTGCCGCTGCTCTGCTTAGGCAGGGGCCTCGGGACTCCTCTTACGCCTCGACGGCGAGCCTCAGCTGCTGGAGTTGTGGGTGCAAGTCCTCCAGCCCCTTCCCTGGCCCCCCCCTAGCACTGCCTTAAAGTGTGTTCTCCTGGGCTCGGCACAGCTTTGCTGGGACCCAGGGGATCGCTTGTCTGCGTGCCTCTTGTGAGGCATCTCTGGTTCTTTCCGTTCCTTGACTGTGTGTTCCTAGTACTGAGTTTAGGAGTGTGGGGCCAGAGATCGTGGAAACCCTGGCTCCTCTCAGCAGTCCTGGACATCTCGAGGTCAGTCTGAGGAAGAGTTTTTGCAGGTGCTTGAGGTTGGTGGTGACTGAGCATCACACTTGCCCCTGCTCCCCAATCCAGGGCAGGCCCTACTGAGAGAAATATGCACAGGGGCCGGGCCTGGTCTTTAGCTGGGAGATTCACACATTTAGGTATCTTCTGCAACACTTAACAGTGCTCTCTGTTCTGAGCTGGTGCAGCCTGCTCTGCGTGGAGCTGAGAACAGAGGGCATTTAGAAACTTTCTTTTCCCTGCTGGCTGCTGTTGCCGTGAGTTAGCTCTCTGTCCTTCTCCTTCCAGTCTGAGCTTGCTGAGTGATCTGAAAGACCTGAACAGGCGAGAGCGAGCAGAGCTGAGGCGACGAACCATCCTACTGCTGTACTACCTGCTGAGATCTCCTTTCTATGACCGATACTCAGAGTAAGGGGCCCCTGCTGGGCTTTTGCTGAAAATTTCCCTTTTAACAGAAATAGCATTAGGGGACTGGGTGGGTAGATCTGAAGAGGTCTGGGTGCCTGTGACCAGGTTAATCTGAGCCCTTGCATAACAGCTGCCATTGCTGTTCGTGCATTCGAAGCTGGGGCAGGAGGTGTCCCACTAGACTTGTTTGTACTTTCTCCCTTCCTAGGGGCAGGATCCTCCTCCTTCTGCGCTTGTTGGCTGATTACGTGCCTGGAGTTGGCTTTGTCACACGTAAGTGGGCCCTGCTGCTATATCCCTGGCTCTGTTGGGTGGAGAAAAATCAGAGGAGTTGGGCAGAATGTTTGTCAATTGGTTTTCCAACCTGAGGACGGAATTGGGAAGTCCCTAGAGTGGTTAGCACCAGTGCACCATGTATTGATGCTTGTGTTGTTTTAAACTGGAACAGGAAAGGATGAATTGCTTCCTGGCTATTAGGGAACCTGTGCTCGACCACAGTGGTAAACCTCCTTGTGCCCTCCCAGGCTGCAGAGCTCCGTCTCTGCCACCTGGGCCTGTTCTCCTGGGCTCCCTTTCTGCACCTCAGCTGCTGCGCCAGAGCCCTGCTTTGCCGCCCCTCTTTTTGAGTTGTTTTCCTTGATCCCGAGTCTGCAATGCAGACACAAGGGGTAAACGGGTGCCTAGAGGTATTGACCCAGCCAGGAGCCGATTGTAAATCAAAGGGCCGAACTGGGTCTGTCTTCTCCTAGTCCTTCACCAGAGGATCCCTTTATTATGGGCCAGAATTCCACCTCCCCCTCTTCCCTGCTGATGTGAAGTCTTTTGTGGAGCGATTCATGGCAGTGATGTGGCATTAGATAAGCCTGGCATCGTGGGATTGTCCTTTCTTTGGGGAGTTCACAACACTGGCTAGCTCAGGAGCTGCTTCCTCCAGTTAGTGATTTTGGAAAGGCTTTGGAGCCTGCATTAAGCCATGTGCTACTAAGCATTTTCACTCTACAGCAGTTGCTTCTGTGTCTGCACCTGCTCGTTATTGCTGAGTTGTCTTCCCTCTTTCCTGTGCCACAGCAATGTCCTCCTGACTGGCTGCGTGCGGGTCTTCCCCTTGCACATTGTGGAACCCCCATCCCGCTTGGAGCTGGGATGTGTCAGCTCTGTGGGAGCGGTGTCCCACACCGTGGCCATGCTGACCATGTTTCACACCCTGCTTGGTCCTGCTCTGATCTCTGGCACCACGTCCCAAAGTTGTCTCCCAGCTTGGCAAAAGTAACTGTTCTATTCTTGGGCTCATCTGAGTTGTATAACTGGAGATTTGGGATTGTTAGGTATCATAACGAGAAGGGGGGGATGTACCCCAAATACATGCAGCCTTTCTATGTGCATGATCCCTCTGTTCTCTTGTTTCAGGGCCACTGATGGATTACTTGCCTGCTTGGCAGAAAATCTATTTCTATAACTGGGGCTGATGAGAAGATGATTATTCTCTGCAAAGATCACGGCTGGACATTTCTAAGGAGGGCAAGCAGCCTGGGGGAGGGATGTTGATAATGTCTAATATTCAGTTAATCCATCAATGAGAAGCTCCTGTTCTGCAGGGTGGGGAGGGGGGTGTATGTAATTTTTTTAACAGATCTAGCTGTGAATCAGGGACACTACATGCGTGGAGAGACCCTGGCCACCTCTTTCTCTGGACCGTTCTGTGGCTGCAATGATGGTGATGGGACAACCTCTTTTTTTTTAAGCACTTGATTTTTTCTCCTTTTGTATGGCTGCACTATAATAAAGCCAGGCAGCGTAGTGTTTTTTGGAGAGCATTGTCTCCCACCTCGTGGCGCTGAGATTGACCTGCAGCCTGCTTGTGTTGGCCGCGCCGTGGCCCATCTGCTTGGAACCGGCTTGTCTGTCAGATAAACTGACTGAACGGAAAGAACTGAGCTGAAGGAGCTCTCTTCCCCTGTTTGCATGGGCTCCCCTCGTATCTGGTTGCCAGCGGGTCGGTCTCTATCAGAAAGAGCAGCTTTTGCAGTTGTCTACCCTGGGATATGCTGTTCCTTAGAAGTCTTTTGCTCTGGCCTGTGTCAGGCAGGGCCCCGCACATTGCTCAGCTGATGACTGCAGCCTCTGTAACTCCAGCTTTAGTCCCCAGTTTCCTGGGGTTCCCCTGGGGGTAGGGAGAGCTGCAGTTTGCAGTCTGCTTTCCTAGCACCTAAATGTGTGCTAAAAGGGTTTGCAGAATGGCTGCCAGCCAGTGCTCGGGGGCTTGGCTAAGGGCAGAGAAGAGAAATGAAGAGAGAATTCAGCAAATACTGCTGTGCCACACTTAATAAAGGGCCTGGGAGAGGCGTGGACAGCCATGGCCATCTTTTTGTATCTGCTCTGCTAACTGGTGGACAGTTGTGGCATCAGTCTGCTCAGTGAGCTGCTGTGGAGGCTCCTGGGGCCAGGACAAAGGGGTAGCCAGCTGGTGGCACTGGATTGCCCCACAAGCAGCTGCCAGCCCTGTGCAGAGCTTGGGACTGGAAACTGCCAGCTGTGTTGGCCTCAAGTGGGTGACAGGAGCATCCCTACCTGAACCATCCCTCAGGGATTCTGGAGCTGCAGGGGTCACAGCCTTCTTGCTTCAGCAAGGGGTCCTAGTGGGCCACCGCAGTTGGGGACCACAGGGCTTGGGCAGCGCGTGGGGTCTGTGTTGCCACCTCAGCTGGCAGCAATGCCCTGTAACGCAGCAGCGTGGAAAAGCCATGAGCGAGGGACTGCGCTCGTCGTTTGGGCATTTAGCGGAGGAAGATGCTGAAGACTGCAAAGCCTGGAAAGCGTTGGGGGGTTCATTCCTGGGGACAGGGAGGTACTGAGATGAAGGGGTTTGCTCTTGGAGGGGGTGAGAGGGAGACAAAAAGTGGTGGTGAGGGACAGGGAAGCAGCCCTGGAGCTGTGGCTGCAGGGAGGGATGTGCACCAGCGCAGGGAGGCTGCGAGCGGCCGGCGTGGCCTGGGCAGGACCAGGCAGCCCAGGACCAGAAGCTCATATA